AATCGCCACAAATGTTCAAGATGCTCAGAAAAAAAATCAGTCTCCGCAAGTCTGAGCTGCCAAATTAATGGAACCCTCCTTGTCGCCTGGCAGCCAGGCTGCATGGCGGTCCAGGATAAATAAAAATTATGATTCTGGCTGGGTGAGCCTGGTGTGGGACGTTGACCACAAAATGAATCTGTTCGAGCATCAAAAACGCGAGCTCGAACTGTAACAATTCATACAAATTGCAAAACGAGTGGACCATTACAGACTTGCACTGTATGTATGTTGAACTTCTTTTGCACCGTACGTAGCCAACCGTGCTAATCGGAGGTGTGTGAAAACCTGCCCTTGCCGCACTGGTGTGGCACAAGCCAGCACCGAAGACAAACTCTTGAATCACACAGTTCATGTGAGCGAGGAGAGTCTATGGCGCCAGCCCACATTATTTCCATGCCTCTGGCGTTTACAACACTCGGGATAAACATGCTGATTGTATGGCCGTGCTTCAGTTTGACTTTTCATAACAGTAGGATTTCTCACACTGTAATCACCATACCAGCAGCTGGACATAGAAGCAAAAGGGTAATCACCATGCCATCCTGCACCACCAGACAGATTCAACGTGTCAAATGCTAGCGGCAGTTTGTAACTGACCAGATGAAGGGGCACAGCAGCTGCAGTTCCATTTGTTCCATTCAATGATGCTGCCAATTAAGCTCCATTCGACATTTCAAAGAGAACAATGAACTGTACTGCACTGGTTCTTGAACTTGCCTGTGTTCCTTAAGGTTTAACAAGTCTAACCCTGGGTTGCTTGGCAACCCAGGGTAAAACATTTCCAAATTCTAAATTTTGCCCACAAATTACTGAATTGGCAATTACAGTCAAAAGGCAAAAAAAGCTCACGCGCGATTCTTACCTTCTGCGAATGACAATTCAGAGGCAATAACTAAATAAATAAACCAACATTGGCCCATCTCATCTCGAGGTTTTTTTTCTTTCCCCGTTGTACCCAAGCACATTGTGCGGCGTCATTGCCTATGAACCAGAGCACGTCTCAGCGACGAGATTGTCCAATTTGCCTTCACTTTTATAAATCTCTGTTTCCAAGCGACAGCGAGATTTTTCAGCCACATTAAATCAAAATTGCGCTTCACGTTAATTTCATGAGCGGGCCTTCACAAGTGTGCCTTTTTGTAGCAATAGTTTACAAATGTATTAATGTTTAAATGGCACACGTTGCACTTTGTAATTCTGGCGAAGCAACGTTAGATTATAATCCCCAAGATAAATTACGTTTAAATTAACATGGAAAACGGCAAAGTGGCATTCAAAGTTGATGTAAAACCATGGGCGGATTTTGCCTGGGGGGGGGTGGGCAACGCCACAACCAAACTGGACACCTTCATTAATTGATTTTAAGTAGCTTACAATTAAGATAAAAAATATAGATACATTAATTCTATGCACCCGCGATTCCTAATGTGAAGGACAAAGCGAACCCCTGCCCTCCTCCAAATATAAAAGTCAAACTCTGCCTATGTGTAAAACCAAACATTAAAAATATAACGAACAATCCTGTATGGTAAAATAGCATAAATATATATGTAGAACGGAAGTTTACAGCTTACTGTCAATTCACTGCTGGATGAAGGCCTCTCCAATGCTGTGCCAGTTCGGCGGGGGGGGGGGTTGTTTCACCATACTTCACCAAGCTGGTCAGTGTCAGTTAAGGGTATAAACATAGATGCTTTAATAAATGGGGAGCTTCTTATTTACCCTGGGTCTTGAAACACTTAAGAAGGGTCTTGCAATGGGATGTTTGGCCAATTTCATGAATGAGTGTTTTGCCACGTGTAATGCCAAGTTTAAGTTAGTTTGTTTACGTGTTACGTGGACGATCCCGTCCAGCCAGTTTCTCGGTTATTTTGCAAAGGGATATCCGTGGTGCGCGAGTTCAGCTTGCAGTGTGCATGTGAAACCAAAGTAGCCAGATAAAACCCACGCATGCATCCAGATTCATGAATCCATTGCTGCGCCACTCCCTCTCCCCCAACCCCAATCCTAAATCAATTGGTTATGACCTGGCAGTCTCCCATCCAAGTATCAAGTACAGACCAGACTCACTCCCGTTTAAGCAGGGTTCAACGTTGCTTTGACATTTAAGCTCATGCTGGTGGATGACACAGGGTGTTTTTTTTCTTTCCAGATATTCCTGTTTCCTCCCATGTGCAAATCTACACTGTAAGGAATTGGCTAAACATCACAAAGCAGAAAGACAAAGCCTGGCGACACTCTCCTGGGTAGACACAGTTTGCGCATATATAAATACCAGCCATGCTAAGGCTACGTATTCTACGTAATCCGTGTGGATCTCGCATTGTCTCTTGGAGATATTCCAAGTTTTGTGTCCATCCTTGTGTGCTTCTTTGAGCGATTTCTCACATTTTCAATGTGAATTTTCCAGCTGGAAAATTAGCATATCCATTGAAATGTTTTCTCATTCAATCAAAATGTTATTTTATTTTGGGTTTTTTAGTTACAGTTTACTCGTTTTAGATATATACTGTATTGATATCGACTTCCAAAAATAAGCTTGTGATGTTCTGGCTATAAAGCATTTTAAATGTGTATTTTCCATTAGACAGCGTGCCTAATTGGCACATGTCAAAAGGGCAAAGTGAAAGCTGCTCATCATTCATCCTGTGGAACACATCTACGGTGCAGATCGCTGTCAAGAAGTCTTGTGATGTTACCCTCCCCTTCCATCACAATAAAAGCTTTCACTGCATAGTATCATTATATAGCGCGGCTCATTTGTGAATGTACGCACCCCAATAAATCTGTGCACCTAACTGCACCACGGCACGCGCTTTATGGTTACTATCACTGACATATTGACAATATTTTCCCCATCTTTCAGTTGTACATATATATATTTTATCCTAAGTTCCACCCAGCACTAAATATGTGTTGTTCTAGTCAGAAAAAGAGGACGCTAATTATGTTGACCTCACCCACATCGATTTTGTTTTACTGTAATGAAAATAATTGGTGGGAGGTTTCATATTATGTTCAAGGTATTAAAAACAAAAAAGTGGGGAAAAAAACAGAGCGACCTTTCATGTACGGCTACTGGAAACTATCGAGCCTGAAAGGGATGAGTGATTTCACTGCAATGGTTGGAGCATGCCTTTAGTGCTTTGGCGTGTGCTAATTTTCCTATAGCGATTGGTATAATTGTAAACAAATAGTGTCTTAGAAAATGGAGCCATGAGCATTAGCAAATTAAGGTTCCCCAAGCGTTATAGTCCCAAGCCTGACCTCCAATGCCAGGATATGCTTTTTGAATTCAGGCCAAAGTGTGTGCATGTGCGTTTGAGTACGTGCCTGCGCGTGTATGCGAGTGTGTGCGCGCACAGAGCCCGTGTGTGTTTTTTTTCTAATGCTTACATTCCTTTAAAAGCATCTGATCTCATTGCTGACCCTTTTCGCTGGGCCACTGAGCTGTGTGGAGAGCCCGCCAGTGGCACAGGCCTGGATCTTAAATCACTGACACGGCGCTCCCACCCACGAGTGTCATATACCGGAACATTAACAAGGCGAGGGAGGACTCTGCTAATTCATTCACCTGCTGCCCTCTGAAATTGGATTCTGTCGCTTTGTCTCGCACGGCTGGAGTTCGTTATACGTATTGTCGTGCCCGCTTTGCCCCGCTTGCGAAGCTTTGTGGAGAGCGCTTTCGCCAATCCCCGACGGCCCAAATCCTGTAGCTGCTCGTGGATTAAACACCAGACAGAACGATTGGTGCGGTCATATGGCTTCGTCAGTGCCCATTACTCAATACAAAGCCCTTTGACTGGTGTGTTGCAGTAAAACACACGAAAACAATAAAGTCAAAGTGATTTCCTTGTTAAAATGAACATTGAGGCATTGCCCATTTTCTATTAACAGTCCTGAGACAGCTGTAGAAATTCCACATGCCAATGGCGTGGATCAGTTTGTCCATAGGTTAACCGCTGTTGATTTCCCTGCAAAGTTTTATCTATTTTATCAACACAAGATGAATGATGGGCTAAGTCAATGCCCAACCAACTTTGCCAATGGGCCACTCGGCTGGATTAGGAATTACGCAACACAATTATCAATAAAACTGCCTTATAATTACAAGGTATATAAAAGGTGACATTTTGGCCAATAACCCTTCTTCACATGCCGTAGATGGGCCAGAGAAGTAATCAGAAGACAGATCAGATGATTTTCACTGTCGTAATCCTCATTTCCACTCCCCTTTTTGTTTGAAAAAGTGGCGTGTATTGAAATAAATGTGGAAACGTATTTTGGAAAGATAAATGCATCAAAAAATTGTATCCTAATTCAGGACCATGAAAAACGCATAAATCCTTTATTTACTGTCAATTGAACATATTTGGTCAAAATAAGCTACTCGTGACAAATTCCATCAAATTACAAAATGTTATAAATTGAATTGCTACTCTAAAATAATCACGTAAATCAGAGTACACTATTCCAGCAGTTGCAATAAAAACAAAACATTTTGGAAATATTGCTAAATTACTCAACTTATTCAAATACCAAGGAGGCAATTTTGACTGGGGAAAAAAGTAGCCAAAGGCAGAGCCCTGCAATTACAGGCTCACGCCACCGTTGGCAGAAGGACACTCGCTAAAGCGAGGTCGAGAGAGCTCCTCTATGAAGGGTATTTGATCTACTGTTCCATGCTGACCAGACATTTTGGAAGAGGTGGGAGTGCCCACAATTTACTCCACAGCAGGTGACCTGCTGATTGACTTGCCCGACTGTGGCGTTGCCCATTTATACTGCTGCTGGCTGGGCATAGGCAGGAGAATTTAAGAAACTTGACCACTGCTGCAACCTCTCAGCCAGCGGATCAAATCGAATCGGCAACCTCCTGATTGCGAGACCACTGTGCTAAATTTTGCAGCACAGCGGCATCCATGACATTGTTGCATTTTTACAAAATGTCCCCTTACCTTAATGCGAGCAGCTGAACCAGGGACCCTGAGTATTCCTTCAGCATTCAGACTTGTCTCTTCCAAGTGGCACAAAAGCTGTGCAATATAATCACAATAATAAAATATTACTCATGTTGCCAGAAGAACAAGAACGTTACTATGAACTTTGTTCGTAAAACATAAATTACACTGTTAAAAGCGCCACTTGTATAAATGTAAAACTACACAAAGACAAAGATAAACTACACACACACACAGCGAGACATGCACTCTTAGTCAGGGGGGTGGCGGAGGGGAGGGCTGTGTTTAAAATTTCCAGATGGCGGACACCCGCGGAGCCTACAGACATTGACAAAAAAAAACGTAGACTTGAGGAGCACGGAGGGGTGGGTGATGGGGAAAGGGAGTGGGTAAGGGGGACTCTTGTACTACCACCACTTTACCTCACTCTTTTGTATTGCATTTCACACAATGGGCCTCGTGCGACGATAAAAGCGCCTCAAGCACAAGTATGTTACACCCGTGACCTGCCCTTATGAATAAATACTATGCTCGGGGTTTTTGTTTTGCTGTTGCACGCACATTACAGGATTGGTTCCTATAGGAATTGAGGAATTTTAAATTCCACTACGGTTACATAGCACGCCTGCAGGTTCGGTGAGGTATTTTGTTTCTATGACTTATGGGATAATTAAAAAGAATGTCTGAATTGAGGCGATGGCCATCCAGTTTTGTTTTAGTTTGGCACCGCAAAGAGCACACCGTTGACAAATGTTTTGCTTTTATTGAGCGAGTTATCATCGATAATGCTTAGCGATTTTAAAACACGACTAGATTCCAACCAGCTACTTAAAGGAAACAAGTGGATAAGCCACGCACAAAAAAAAAACATCATCCCAATCCAAACTTACAAGATCTGCCAAATGCGCCGTAATGAGCTCATGACTAGTCTTATTAATGATGTACAGGATGTTGGGTTAGTGTGGGAGTTTCCATGATCCTGGCGAGACTCTCCCTGTGTTCTAGGTATTTATTTTCCACCTTTCCTTCCCTATTCACATGTGATTTATATTTCCCCTCATCAGCTGAATGTCAGAAGTGGGGTGCACCGGACTGGTAGCAGTGGTAGGAGTGGGTGCAATTCGCTCATTGTTTGAAACGAAACAAATTATTTGGTGATACCGCGTTGGCATTGGTGCGCACAAATAACAAACAAACAAAAAAACCACTCAACACGTCCGTCAACGACAATGCCTTAGAAGGAAAAATATGTAATTGGTGCAATTTTTTTGGCAATGGCTCCTCTTCTGAGCACATCAGAATCTGTATTTATGATGTCCAGTAGTCACAGATGTTCAGGAGCATAGAGCGGCCAGAGATGGAGAAGAGTTGAGAATAATTACATGTTTTCAACGTTTCCAGAAAAAGTGTTTTTTTTTTATTGGCAATATGAATAATAACATATTTGTATCATTTTAAAGAGCTAGGCTGCTGACCTTGTGGAGAAAGATGGGTACTCTGGTGCCGGGGAACTTCCTCTGGTCCTGCTCCAGAACCACGGGAAGGGAAACTCCAAAGAGACCGTTTTCTGGAAGGAAAAAGATGGCAAAAAAACCCGTCACATTTGCACACGAGGCGGTACACTCCGTCTTGTTTTGTGGAATCACTGTTGGGCCCCAAATAAAACGAATTTAATTACCACAATCAACCATATTGTGTGCCATTCGGTATTCCCAGTTTGGTCTTATTAAGTTGATCGCTGCCAACAGCAAGTCGACAGGGCATATTGGTTTCATGTAAATTGTATTTATTTGAACAAATTGTCACACGCCAAATTTAATAAAAATGTTTATGGCACAGTATGCTTTTCGTGTTGTCAGCTGCCAAGATGAATACAATTAAGTTTGAAGGCAATCTTTACCCCTTCAAATGTAGACACATTCCCTCTTCACAGTTTCCACAATTCAGTATTTACTTTGACCAGGCTTTCTATCCAGATAATTTGTTCATGTTTACCCTGTGCCCATCTGACCTTTAACCTTTGTCCTGATGGCCTTGGATCGCTTGAGGTCAATGGTGAGCGCATCGAGGAGGGCCGTGAGCTCGATGAGAGCCAGGAAGCGAATCTTTTTCATATCCTGAGCCGAGAGGTCATCCAGCCGCGTCGTTCCGAGGCACGGATGCTGAGAGCACGGCACTCCTGCCTGACTCCCCAACCGCCCCCCCCCCCCACACAACAACAGAAAAATTGACGGTTCCACAGACTCAAACATGGCACAGCTAGCCAGAAAAAGTGGGCTGTACCACTTGAAACAGGAAGCAGGCTGTGAACTACACAAAACTGGATTCTTCACAAAAGTGATAGTAAAGTTTGTATGCAGAGGTGAGCTTCCAAATTCATAATGACTGCAAGCTGTAGCTGGCACGCATCCCACATTACCATGATTAGATTCTAGCCACCAAAGCTCTTCCGAATTCATATTTTTTTGGGATCTGCCGCTTAAAGTGTTTTTTTTTGTCAGTGTAATTGAAGACGCATGCTGGTGCGTGAGTGAGACAGAGAGCAGTACATCGGAAGTCTGCGAGCCAGTGTTATTTGCCACGCAATGCTGAAATGCGTTGTTCTGTGAGACATGGAACGGAATTTTAACCGCAACCCCCTGCAGCCTTCAAAGCCGGTGCCATATGTTTCACTGATGTGAGATTAATAGTGTCACCTACACATCCACATCTCTTTCATTAGAACCTTCATTACTCAATCCCCAAACACGAGTGATACATGTGAATGAAAAAAAAGATAGTTTGAAATTATTGCAATTAAATAATGTTTTACGTAAATGCTTTAAATGTCAGAATGTAATTTTGTAATAGTTTTTTTTTATTTCTATGTTTTCAACAATGCAGTAATATGTACACAAATAAAAGGATACAAATTACAAAACAATAACACAACAAGAGGCAAGTTACAATGGACACAGCGCGCATCTGACTCGTCAAGAGGTCGAACAACCGAATCTACAATGGCAAATGTTTGCGGTGTCCTTGTTTCGTGTAAAGTACTGAGTGTTGCAGGCCACTTACGGATATGGCGTTTTCCTCTTCTGCGATGGTTGATGACTGACAGCAGCTGGCGGCCTGGTCAGAATACGGCACATCTGATTGAAGGTCAGCGACCTCGGCTGCTTCCTGAGCCGACAGAGTGCATGGCTCCGAGGAGAGGGCACCATCTGGGACGGGTCATTAGAGAACATCTCTGTAGGCTCAAGCCGATCTACAGCGTTGTTGTATAATTCAAATCCGACACCATGTCCGTAAATGTTGAGAAACCCCATCGCAACAGGAAAATCCGTGCAGGCTGGAAACAATTTGCTTGAGTGCGAGTCATTAGCATGCACTCTAACAATAACCAGGTCATATAAGAGATAAAGGGGCAGCCCTGCAATTACTTCCTCACACCACTGCTGGCAGGTCATCTTATAGAATGATTCCTCTAGACGATATTTGGCCTACTCTTCTTTGTTGGCAAATTCCCCGTAATTCCCGTACCCACTAACCTCCCTCCCCATACCCAAACCTTATTCACCATACCACGTTTAGCTACCCTCATTGTACCACCCATAGGCCTTGTAAAGCGCCTTGGATAAAGGCGCTTTATGAACATAAGATAAGATCTTGGCAGAGGTGGGAGTACTCACAATTTACCCCACCACAAACGGCCTGCCAATTGGCTAAATAATATAAATCCTGCTCATATACATTACACGTAATGGAATAAAATCCCTTTGTCAATCCGCTGCTGGATGAAGGCCTCTCAATGTCATGTCAGTCATGGGTGTACTTTGACCATACTTCACTGCGAGGGTCAGTGTGGGTCGGTGGAGGATGGGCCCAGGACTTGTCCAAGGTATCACCTTACACTGATGTTAGGGGTGGCCGGAAATTGACCTCAATTTGCTAGGTTTCATCGTACAGTTCACTAACCAATGCACCAGTGCTTCCTCAAGTATCCTAACTAGGCTGTATTAAATCCTTTAAGTAATCTGAAGTTAAGAGTCTAGTCAGAGTGATTTCCTGCTCAAATGAAAATTGAGGCAGTGCTCATCTTCTATTTATATCCCTGAGCCATTGGTGGCAATTTCACAAATCTATGGCAGGGCCGGGTCTATCCATTGGACAACAACTGTTGACTTGCCCACAAAGTGGTACCAATTGTATCAACCCCGGGAGCGGATGATGGGATGAGTCAACCCCTCAACGAAAATTTTAATTCACAACCGTCTGAGCGTGAGGCGTTAGCAACTGCTGCTGAGCCACCTAAACATAGTAGATGAGCTGTGTCCCAATGCTCATTTGAGCAAGAAATCAACAATTTGCTTTACTTGATATATACTGTATTTCGAATGTGATTGTAGGACCGCATCGCGGGAGAGTCAATAACATCAGTGAGTAGAGTTGTGAGTAGAGTTGCAAGACCTACTTCAATGTTCAAAGAACCCTTCTCTGTATTTTAAATGCTACCCGAACAGCCTTCTGGGTGAAGTCATAATTTACATTTCGTGTAGATTACTCATCTGTCTGAGTGATAGCTGCCCCTACACAAATATTGACATGTGCGGTATGATTAGAGCCACAAAGGCTGTTAAAAAGGTCATAGAACAAAGCCATTAGTTGGTTGACCTTAGACCTTCGAGCCAAAGATATGTTTGTGTGAGGATTCATGGAGTTAACCGATTTTTAGATTACACCAACAGCTGTATGCAACCGTTTGTATCACATTGTCAAGACAACCGACTAACTACTCCGTTTTCACTATAACTAACCTTTCCTTTCCAGGGATTGAATGTTTACTAATTAACCAAAAGAAATTACCCATAGAAAACTCCACTGAATTATTCGTAAGCTCCAATACTTTTTCTACCCAAATGGAATCAATGGTGCAATTTGTTAAACACAGAGGAACTTAAATTTTGACTTAAAACTTTCGTGACTGCAGGAATTCATATTCTTGGTTCTTTCGGTAAAGTCACGTAGATAGAAAATAAAATAAAAATAATTAAATGAAATAAAATAAAAAATATAAATACATTGAAAATAATGAAAGCAAAAAACCCAGGACGTTTCGATCGCAACACAAGCGGTCTTCATCAGGTGGAGAGAAAAGAGGGGGCAAGCCTCCAAATGCAACTGCTTATAAGGGCTTTCAAAGTGAGCAAAGCTGTTTGGCGTGCTTTTATTATTTTCAATTTATCAAAAACAAAAATTTTATTCTTTTAATTTTATATCTAAGCGACTTTACCAAAAGAACCAAGAATACAGAGGAACTTTACGTCAAAACGTACTTTCTTCTCACTTGCCATTTTTGGTAGCTTGCAACCTGGAGATATGTATATATAATAATTGCCTTCTGTTGAAATAGTGTAATGTTGTGGAGTTACTTTTTTTCTCTGTGGTCTTGCTGTCTGCTGGAGGAGTACTGTTTGCCGATGGTTGCTCTGTTGACTGATTGCCCTCGGGTGGCCGAGAAGTTCCATTGTCAAGGCCCTGCTGTTGGGGATCACGCAGGGAGAATGGTCATCGCGGGAAGGTCATGCGAGTTTAGAGGAAGTGTTGCGTGACATAGCACACTTGAAATGACCTGCAAATGACTCAGGGCAATGGTCGCCACATACTGGCAGACTCGTTTTCAGGCCAGGTTCTGGGCCACCTTGCGCCCACACGGACAATGTTTTAGACAAATGTTTTGGACGAGGTGTGATGCTCTCTGAGACGCCCCGGTGTAGAGGACACTACGGTATATGAAAAGCAAATAATTTTCATTGTCCATGAGAATGTTTTCAACAGCAATGTTCTATACACTGTAAGTACTGTATGTGAGCAGAGGATGACGATGTCATTGTTTAAAAAGGCTCAATGGGTCTCAAGACTCTTTCGAAAAAGCATTCTGCCTCGGGATGTTTGGCCAATACATATTTTCGGCGAGTACATTGGCAGTGCTGCAGTGCACCTAACAATGCACTTACTGGAGGTGCAAGCCAATGAAAGGCAGCTTGAGAGTTGTGTGCGATGCCTGTGAGATACACAAGCCTAAGCTGCTGCCAATCCACGTGCCGATAGATGGCTTTAAAGTATTACATTCATAAAAACGTGCAATACGTATCATAATTGGGTGTTTACTCCTCATGCAAATTATAAACCAATGCTACATTTAGGATAATGGCATGAACAAAACAAACTGTAGAATCAAGGTAGAGAGCAACAAAGGAACAACACAAAATAAGCCGGTGAAAACGATACTGTAATCTAGTTCTGAATCCTATCGCGACAATTCATCGAATCACTGTGAGGGGGAGTCGATAAATCACGACACGCCTACAGATGCCACCGAAGCAAGCAAGCTCCACTGCTCGCTCACTGGCGGTCAGTCGCATCTCTGTCACCACGGTTACCAACTTCACACCATGGTTACTAACGCCTCTCCTCGTATTCCTCCACCCACGCGGAGGAACTCAATCTGCCAAACTGACTGCGTTCAAGCACCACAGTTTGGCTGAAACCACCTACCTCCTTTTCCACTTATTTTCTCACACTGCTCAACTTGGTAAATAACCCTCCCAAGTTCTCACAGCCTTCCCCGATTAGAACAACACATTTAACCCACGCCTATCAACGCCTTTCAATAGCGCCGCTTTCCGCCGGACGCTTTGGGCAGCCACTGCTACAAATGAACCGGCCGTGGTGGTGGTGGTGGTGGGCCACCTCACCTCGGCACAAGCGCTCGCCGGGAAGACGTCTCGCACGTCGCGTGCCGAGGGCCGGTGCCGTCGCCGCCGCACGGTCTGCGTGTACGTGTCGAGGCGGCGCGCCACGGCCGCCGCCTGTGCCCGTGTGAGCGTGGAGAAGAGCGTGCGCCCGTCCGCGTCGCCGTCCTCGCTCGCGCACGGCGCTGGCGAGGGCGGCGACGGCGTGGACTGGCCGCTCGTTCGGCAGCTCGGGGCCGGGCTGCCCGACACTTCGGAGACCAGGACGGCGAGACCCGCGGCGTGGAGCCACTCGGCTTCCAGCTCGCCCTCTGCAGTGGGGGTGGGAGGGCGCGCAAAGCGGCGTTAGGCGAGTGAGCCCCGTTTGGTTTGAGTCACGGTCATGGGCCTAGTCCAAGTCGATGGCGAGCCGTACGATTTGACTCGAGTCTTCGGTCTGTGGATGTCATTTGGTCGCTGAAGCAGTCGAACAAATAGTCTGTTCTTAGTTGTCAATCGTTGTCCCGTAGTTGCAATTTGTGATCGGCGACAATGTCGATTATTTTAGATGCACACGTATATGCTTTGTCCCATAAAAACACATCTTAGTCCATTTCTTTTACATCCGCACAACAGATGTCTTTCCTCATAATTAATGATACAATTGTAATTTTAAAAAGATCCATAATAATAAAAACACTTTCAATTGGTTCTTATAATCATGAACAGCAGCATAACCAACCTTCTGGTGTCCTCACTATGACAATGGCCTCCTGGTTCTGACACCCCTCAATGTGTTCCACCTCCCTCCAGAAGTCCTCCATGGTAGAATCCTCGGAGTTTGACCCACGGGTGACCCTGGTTGCTCGTGCCTGACTGGCCGACCGGGCCATTTTAGGGGAGGAGGAGGAGGACGAGGAGGAAGAGACGGCTGGTGGGTGGCCTGCCTCATTTGTCCTGCTGGAAGATCTAGGGGAAGCCTCGGTTGGGGTAGGAGGTGTGTCCGGCAGGGAGGGTGATGTTTGCAGAGATCCCAGAGAGTTCTTCCGTGAAGAATCCTCTGGTGGTCTAACATCTGCCTTGCTCTTCTTCCTGGGTGAGTAGCACAATTGCAGTGTTAATGTAGCCAGCCTCTTTTATATTTGTCACTGTCTTAGTCTCATTGACAGCAAACTGTGGACTGTTAGCTAGTTCTAAGTCTGTGGATCTCCTTTAGTCACTCTGCGTCAAGTTGAATAAAGCAGCCAAAAGTTTAGCACACGTTGAGCTATTAAATTTTGTGTGAGAGGTGCACAATTCACTCTCCCACAGTATATTCAGGTCAGCTGATTAGGGAAATCAGTAATTATTTTATATGAACCTTCATTAAGACTATAGTGGTTAAATTAATCTCAGCCATCATCAGTTATGCGTTGGTAATTGGTAGGCAGTTGTCGCCAATGTCACGCTTGATCATTTTCTGCCACTCATAAATATTGTAAAATAAAGTACAATTCATTGGTGAATATTTTTTCGTTGGTCTTGGTAATTAACACGGCTCCCTATTGCAAAACTCTCTTATTGTCTCAATGTATTGTCTCATGAAATAAAGGCAACTAAGCACTGCCATTTCTTTAGTTTTATCAACTAATTTCATCCAGATGTGTCTGGGTGAGGATTTGTAACGAACAAAAAAATACAAAAGGCGAGTTATTTATTAGTTTACATTACATCTTAACAAAATACACAGCTCCAAACAGCCAGCACCATGAGCACTCCCTTTTGAAAAAAAAAATATGTTTGTGTTGGCGTTTTCACAAAGCAGATACCTGAGTCAAATGTGAGTAACGCTCAAATTCTAAAAAGACGGTTCAAAAGGACGATTAACATAGTTTTTTTTTTAAAAAGGGCAACTCGTGGATGTGGAAGGCACGGCCGTATAAAATCATAATTACCACTGCTTTTACTTTGACGTCAGTTGGTCTTTGTAAGAAGCCATTTAGCGGCGCGGCCATCAAGCATGATCTAATGGAAGAACGCACCGTTATGATGGAGGAACTGCAGACAATTATTTACGATTGTGTGAACATTCCTCCGTCGGTTGCACTCTCGAGGCAAAGTGCATCGTGAAGACACGCAGACAAATCTGAGACGTATCCAGACACCCCTTAACGTTGATACCCGACACAGTTGGGAGTTCGACTATATGGCAACGGGCTAATTAGAAACAGGCCAACTCAACTACATTGGACCTCTTTTTGTGCAGCATTACATTCCTGCTTTGTCATTGCAATATTTTTTAATGATATATATTGCAATGAAGCATTGCAAAATTCGTATTCACAATGCAAGTGCATTTGTTCATTCTATTATTTAGTGGTTTCAATATAGCATAATTAGGATGTTTGGTGAATGATGCAGTGATTGTTGCAATGCACCGTGAGCTGGGCAACTTGAATTTAGATCCCCAACCATAGCTGTGACATCGGTGTTGAGTGACATCTGAACCAGTCATGGGGTACCTCCTTCACAACTCCACACCGAGCTGTGGAACTCTGCCGAAGGCTGTCAGGTGTAGCCCAGTTGAATTGAAACTTCGAAGTGACACCGAAAATAATTCCTATTCAAACTTAGACCCTTCTCACCCATCCCCCGCAATTGCCATCGATGTAAACCACTTTGAGATCTCGTGATAAAGCCAACATTTTTATTGTTATTATAACTGACCCATATTTCTTTTTTTGCGAAAAAGACCACATTGTAATTGTATGCCAAACATTCTTCTCATTAACCCTTTACCACGCTGCCGAACTGACAAACAAATATGGATCGTTGCATTGGCTACAAAAAAACCTATGTTATAGGTCCATTATAATTTCTTATTGAAACAATGCCTCCAATGCAGTCTATCTCAAAGCACCTTGATTGGCGTGGTGTAGAGAGGCCTTCACCCAGCAGGGGATCGACAAGGGGCTGTACGATTAGCACGGTTGCCTACGTACAGTGCAAAAGAAGTTCAACATACATTCACATGCTGTACTGTATTTCGGATGTGACCTACTTTACATATTATGTAAATACTGGAGTGTGGAATGGGCGGCACGGTGGTTGTTATCACACTGCGCTATGAACCTAATCATGTGACAAAACTGCTCAACGGAGCTGGCGAGGAATCATCCCCGGTGAGGAGCTCGCGTCTGGCTCCAATTCCAAATGGCTCACATGGTGGAGCCTAAACAGACTGAGAGTGGGTTTCGGCAGATGCAACTCTCTCGTGAAATCATGGGGCTTTCTGTGCAACCAAACAATGTGGTTGTCAGGAGACTCAAACCGTGGATCATCTCCTGAGATGACCTGCAGCACCACAATGCACTCCTCAAGATTTGGTAATGCCAACACCATAAGCGGTGGTCTGTGCAGAATATTGAGAAAAGACCAGAAAGGTTGGACAGGAGACACGACGATGAAGAAGAATATTCTTTGGGTCTTTCGATAAAGTCACGTAGATAGAAAACAAAATAAGAAAAATATCACGACGTTTCGATCGCAACGCCGTGATATTTTTTTTACTTTTTCTATCTACGTGACTTTACCGAAAGACCCAAAGAGTATGAATTCCTGCAGTCACGAAAGCTTTCAGTCAAGATGACGAAGAAGCTATAAGCCCAGCGAACACGATTTCTAGCCAGAGCTCTAACATCATTGGGCAAGTTATATTTTAAACGGTCCTGTGCACCAACTCGTACTTGCTCAGCACGGCGAAGTGTCGTCAAACAATCCGGCATGGCCAGCACAGCAGGAAGGGCTTTTATCCAACCGTCAATTGACAAAAGGCAGTGAAATTATGTAGCTCATTTTTAAGCAGTTTATAGGGATTAAATTTATGCTTAATGATTAATTTTAACTTTTACGCCGTTGGCTGTTTTGTTAAAGCATGCCTAGCAAACAGAGTTGTTGCTTGAACTTAAAATGCAGTATCCGTACAAACAAATATGCAACATTCATTGCAAAGCATCGATTACACATTATGCAGGCACTGGTTGCAGATATTGCTGAGCAAATGGGGAGGGAGCAGAGGCTCAGTGGTTAGTGCAATGCGCTGTAAGCCCGACAACATGAGCTTGATTCCTGGAGCGTTATATTATAACCGGTTACCAATACTGCCCATGTCACCGATCCAAACTGACCAGCGTGCCCAAATATGCCCCCCTCGGTTACGCGGCATAGATGGCTGCATCTAGTATTGAATTGAATTGGCCACCAAGGAATATTAATTATTTTAATTGAATTTCCTGCCTATACTTCCACCATGCTTTGAAATACTGTACCCGCAGTAAAACTCAATGTAATAATACAGGATTGGTGGCAACATCTATTCGATTGTACTCCACGGGATACGTTTGGACAAATGAATGGTGCGCTTTGTGAATGTTTATTTATCCTCAAGTGGTAATCTAGCAATGTCCTAAGACAGTGCAGCGATCAAAAGCTTACCCTTCACTCTAGCATTCTATTGCACGTTTGGACGTGAAGTTCTCCTCACTCTGTGAACAAACCACACGAGGAAATGAACAAAAGTCGCCCCTACCGCTTTGCTTCGGGTGGGATTTAATGTATCCAATGTGGGGCATGAGAATCCACCCATGTGCCCCATTTTTATGGCAATAGAGTTCAAAAGCCCTAACCTTTGCTTTACATGGCTGTGAGCTTTACAGAACCTCGGCAGTTTGACATCAATGGCATGATGCATGCTTTAGTCTCGGCTAGGATTTCCAGCTTTAGCACAAAGTGAAGCAATAAACTTAGTATGGCTTGCTTGCAGCCCACCATCTCCCCCCCCCCCCCAAAAGCTCCCCTCCCCCCCGGCCCCCCTACCCAATTTGTGGTGCTTTCTCACAGCGAAGCAGCCTCTTTGTGGGTCACTGTGCACTCTCCCCTGCATGTTTTTCTGCTTAGCTCTGTGCGGTACAAATCAGGGTGTAATTATTATTTTGTTCTTACTTTCACGAAAAGGGTCGACCATTTTTTTTTATTTGCTGGTGAGCCTGAATGAGGACAAAGCAAAGTAGTCTTTTTCAGAATTTTGAGTTTACCTGCTGAGAATTTAATTGCAAAGTCGGATGCTCGCAGCTTTGTGCAATGTATTATTACTGCATGGGTCACATGCATTGGTTATTAAAATACACTCTTGTTTTAGCTTTTTTGAAAAATGGTAGACAAAACTGTGAAATCATAAGATCTGGGATCTTACTTAGGAATGGCTTGGAACAATTAGGCAAACCTGTTCGCCAATCTTTCGTGCACGTAGCTAATTGAAGATGGAGTGCTGGATAGGCTACTAATGGTCGTTGTGTTTATAGAGGAAGTTATTTGGGTTTCAAATGCAACATTATCATGCCGCTGACCAAGCAATTTCCTTTTAGAAATCCGTCCCAAGTAATGTCTCCCTTTTTCACCCAAAGTTGCCCACAGGTCCTATCCTTTACGTCCCACTGCCACTGGTATTCGAACACAGCTCAGCTGTCGATCCTGCCAAACGTGCTCATTTTACACGTTTTTATATTTAACTCTGTCTGTTGTCGCTTCCCAATGTCGTATCGACTGCAAACTTGGTATACGTATGTCATACTGATGCCAATACTATATTCTATCATTAAAAATAAATATTTTTAAACAATCTTTTTTATATATTATGTTTCGGCTTGGGTCTAATTGTCCACGCTCAACTAACGTTGGCTGTAAATCACCACGGTGCCCTTACGTTGTGGCAAGCTTCGGGGCCACTTCCTGGAGTCGTGGAGTTCTGCCATTACTCGTACGGTACATTTCATTAAAGCGTGTTTTTTTAAAAGTATTTTTAATATATTACTTATTTCTACTGCACTATCAAGAGGGCATCAGTTTGAACACATTGCTGCAGGCAATATGGATTGTGAGCTATCAATGCTGGCACCCCTGTAATGTGTAGTCATTATCAGGATGCTCATTACTCTACCGTACATATTTTAGGCTGTCACTATATAATATGAACACTTTGAAAACCCGCAGGCAGTAACCAATAATCTGCCAAGAATTCTCTCGAAAAACATAACTCGCACTTTGTGCACTGGAACCTCGGCTCAGAGCCGTTTGAGTGAAATTCCGTACACTGTATTGATGCTACGTTCAGTCATGAGAAGTCTTAAGCTACCACTTTAGGAGCTTTATTGGTCAGATATTTGATGAGTGGCACTTCTAAATATATCTTTGTGAACGTGATAATCTTGTCGGGTGGTGGATGGTTTTCGACAAGAATGTTGGCATAAAATCGCAGTACCACGTGGCCTAACCCAAAAATAAATGTGGATCATAGTAGTGGCTGTAAAAAAAAAAACTACGGTTTTAAGTTAGAAAATCATAAAGTATGCATTCCCTAGCCATGTGGTTAGCAATGCTATACACGATGAATTGAGCGTTTTCTCCACCACAGTTCATGCTCACGGTAACCAGGCAACACTAATTCGTTTGTTTATGTTAATTGCAAGAAAAAGGGGGGGGGGGGGGAAATCAAATTTCTTTTTTTATAAACAGCTCCGTGTATACAGAAATTCACATTTTGCCCTGTTTGGTTGGGACAGTGGCCCGCGCTCAACTGGGACAATAAGATTAATGGGCTCTCCCCACGCGCCAACGTTATATTGAATACCAACGCAATAGTTATGGATATTTGAAAGCCCCGGCTAATGGCGAGATGTGTAATGAGGACCGCGTGGCTCGCTGAGAGGCACAACGTGGAGGCCTCTGGACACAATGGGGGGAGGTGGTGGTGGTGGCTGAAACAGACGTTCCGTATTGACAGGGCACAGTGGTAAGCGGTACAGAAAGAGCAAAGGACGTGCCGGGGGACGCGGACATGGGCCCAGTTTGACTTAAGAAGCAGTGGCCGGGGTGTGTGTGTGTGGGGGGGATAACAATAGCGCTCTGTCTGACTGTGAATCTGTTAACGCCTCTTGGAAATAAGCAAGAAAACGTCTGCCTGTGCCAAACTCACGAATTCAACTGTGTCCACAGCGGCTGAGAAGTCCAGCTTTATACTTCAATCCCAGCGGATGGTTGGGCGAGAATTCTAGACGTTCCGTCAAAACGTAAAAGTATATTCCAGGTCAGAATTGTATAAGCAGCGTATTTTCTTAAGGGCATACCCCTATGGCCTTTTTAGAGTTTATGTTGGTTAAAACATAGTGATGGCTTCTTGGCAGACATGGACAGAATCCAAAGAGAAGGAAAAACAAAACGCCAAGTGATGAAACTGTTTGGATTTGTACAATGACAGCCAGCCTATTCGAAAGAACAATATACTTTCAGTCGAGCAATCTTACAATTTTATTTTCACAAATCAAGCGTGCCCACAAGTCATTGTATTATATTGCGGTGGTGAGTGTTTTTCATCATCTCAAATTGCCATTGCTTATTACGTTTGCACTGTAAACCATTTGTACAAATATGTACACAATTAGCAAAACATTTTTTTTAAACGCCCACTAAAACAACTGCACTACACAGCTTGTTTAAAGGGCACTTTTGAAACCGTGGAATGCTGCTGTCAAAAATAACGGTGAAGTATGGCTTTAATACAAAAAAATATCCCTATGATCGACACGGCTAGGAGGACGCCGCCGTCATCCAGCAGTGGTTTGTTTGACAAAGGGCTGTAAATTACTTTACGATTATTAATCACACCTAACGCCGCAAGCAATGAACGCAACTGAGTATCTCTGCCCGGGGATGTTGCTGGGATCGTTTAATTCCGAGTGAATTACAGCAGCAGCCACAAGCTCCGACATCTGCTGCAAAAGCCCCAATACAGCAGCCAGCGGTAACAGTCGCAGCCTCGCTAAAGTAATGTTGACCAGTCTGACCGTCGAGACCTGTAATTAAACCTGTTTTTGCTTTGTCTATTTTTTTGTATACGGATCTGGGCTACCGTTCCCCCCTCCCCATATCCACTCACTCCTGCTTAGTCGTGCCCACTGAATGCTCTTAACTAATTAATGTCGGCAAACTGGACGCTCGACGTGCGTGCCCAGCCAGACTTGAGAATTCTGCACTGTACACCATCGGATTTATTTTTTTTTGCGTGGCCTCTTTAGCTCCAGCCTTCTATAGCAGACATGAAACACGTAGGCAACGTGTGTGTGCGCGCGTTTTTTTCAAAGAGGGTATATGTGCAAGCGGTATTCGTAAGGTGTACGTACATACGCCACCAAATTGCCACAAAATGTCCCATTGGTCAGCAGCCGGGCAGAGTTGAGGCTGATTATTTACTGGTTCGTATTCACCGTAATCGGATGAATGACCCGCTAGGTTTTGTTGTTGTATACGTGGGGGCTGTGAGGTGGCCAGGAGATGCCCACGGTAAAAGTGTCACGACGGCCCTTAAAATTGTCGGGCTTTCTCCAGGTACTCACGTAACCAATCATTAACAGAATTTACCAAACATCTCCCCCCGATAATGAGTCGTGAGACTCAAGGAGAAGCTAAACAATCATCATTATCATTCCGGCGTTATTAAAAGAGCAGAAAACTGTCTGCGACGTACACACAACGTAACGCAAGTTGCCTCTTGAGAAGTGTGCCTGGTTTCTTTGGTAAACCGTACGCGTTTCTTGTGCTTCGCTTTTGTCTACATGCCACGCGTTCTCTACTGTGCTGCAAAACGTCGCAGCAGCAGCAGCAGCAACAGCTGCTGCTGCGTCGTTACAACACTGGTGAGTTATCTCACTGTTTGTGTGTCAAAGATGGAAAACTCGACCCAAGCAAAAAAGCCACGTGCTGTGTCATAGATGTCACATTGCCCCTGCTCTGTCAGGCTTATTGCCGTCTAAGCCGATTAAAGGCTGTTCGAGCTTTGTTTGTCGTGATAGAGATCAGGTGGAAAGATAGTGGACTTTTTCTGCATACAAAATGTAATGTTTGTAGATAATGCCTCCAAAGTAATGGAATCATACGGTTTTTGGGTTTTTTTTTACTTATTCAGTTTTCAATTCCTTCATTCATGTGCCTTCGTATATATTTTTTTAGGCAATACATTTGTTTAGGAATAAGTTCATAAATTAAATTTTGATGTAAAGCTTTCGTGACTGCAGTAATTCATATCCTTAGTTTTTTCGGTAAAGTCACGTGACTTTACCGAAAAAACTAAGGATATAAGTTTATAAATTGTTGAGCACGCTCGAAAGAAAACTTTCCGTATTGTTTTAAATGTGTATGGGGCACTGTGCGGGTGTTTATGATGACAATTTACTCTGGAATTATACTTTTGTAAGCAGTGTTTGTCTAAGTGTACGATTGCAGAAGCACAAACACAATTCTGATGTAGACCAGATTTTAAAGCGTAGGTCAACATAAGGATGAACAGAGTGTGAAATTAACTCAATTGTTAGTTATCCCACGCACGTAATGAAGAGCCGATGGGGGCATTTTTAGGCCTTTCACAGTTTACGACGAGCAATTCTTTACTTTTTCTTTGCCACTTTTATTGAGCTCTTGTTTGAAAGTCCGCTGGGGTTTTCTCAATATACAAATAAAAAAAGACCATCAAAACAATATAGAACTTATAGATAAATATACTGTACATGCAGCTCTCAGTGGCAGAGTGAGCGGCTCATTTTCACATTGCTCTGAGTTAAAATCTTGGTTGGGAGGTTTACTCTGCCTGTCACCCACCCTTCTGAGATAAATCAAATGAGATGCAATTTGTGGTAATTCCCATGCATATACTTGCTCCCCCCCCCTCCCTATAGGAATGTGGAATTTCCACCTCTGGCTCTGGGCTGTAAACAGGAGGTGAACGCCGGCTCAATGCTCATTTGAGCAGGAAATCATTTTGATTTTTTTGCAAGTTAAAATAAAATGAATTGCACAAAATAATGAAGGTGCAGTGTTTGCCACGTAAACGATGTTTTAACATGCGTCCCTTGGTTACATTGCATACCAATGTCCTGTACTCAATACGAATGGTACTGGGACAATGCATCTCAACTCCACATGGGTACGGCATGTTATATTCCGCTAAACAACCGAATGAACACAGTTAATATGAATGCATCTAGAGGCAGTAGAAAAGTCACTTTCAGCTCAATCCTGTGTCAAAAAGTTACGACTAACATTTAGTCGATCGCCATCGTTTTGCGTCTCATTTTATAAACACTCGGTGGAAGCGTGGATGCAGATTTTTTGACCGAATTTGAATTGTTACCAGACAATAAGCCATTGTTTTCGTCAAATATGTGTTCAATAATTTAATTTATTTTTGCCAATACGTGGGAGGGCAGCTATTTTTTTTTAGTTTTTATTTTAAAGGAACCGACCGTCTGCTAATGCATGAAACCTGGCCCGCATCCCACACTCGTCCATATGTTCCATGTTACAACCCTAACAAGTAAGCCACACAAAGACACCACGCTGAATCGACCATTAAAAACAGAAAACACACACACATAGACGCGCACACAAGCGCACATTTACGGCCACATTAGCAACCACAGAATCAGAATATGTATTTAGACTGGAGGAATCCGATGAGGTATGAAGCTCTTTTTTCACAGATGTCCAGTAGGGGCGGGTCACAACGTTACAAACAACAAACAATTAAAAAAACCGATAGGTGTGGAAAGTATAGGAAAGGTAAACAAATTGATACCTGGCTTTTAAATGTCAGTTACACTCAAAATGTGACAAATGCGTTTGCTGACACTTGGAGGAAGGGGGCGGCGGGGGACAAAACGAGCGAACCAACAAAAAAGTCAGAATGAAATAAAGTTACAAACCTGTACAGACGAACAGGCATTCTTGCACTGGGAAGTAACACGGTCCGGCCGTTGTTGTCGCTCGCTGTAACGCCGTCCCCTTCTTGTTCGCAAGGACACAGAGAGAGAGGGAGAGACCGACTACGAGAGCGCTTCCACAGGATGCACCATTTCCAGCAGTGCCTCGCACGGGCAGGACAGAAGAGAGCGGTCGAGAGAGAGAGAGAGAAGGCCCCACCGGGCCAGCAGCATCCACCACCCTGGGGGAGAGAGCCAAGGGACACCCCCCCCCTCCTCCCCTCCTTCCGTAATCTCTCAGAAGTGGACTCCTCTTGGACAATTCCCCACCGCTCCCTGCGCGTCGCCCGCTCGCCACCCTCAGCCGACGGTGCCGAGCTGCTCTTTGAGAGCGAACGGGGAAGCCCAATGTTGCACCGCAGGCGATGCAACAGAGAGCCTCGTGCAGGGAACGGAGGGGGGGGGGAAACGCCAATCAGGGGGCTGTGTGTGTGTGTGTGGGGTTGGAGAGGGGGGGGTGGGTAAGGAAGAGGGAGGGAATGTAAAGCGAAGGGGGGTTGGGCTGTGGAACTCTGGTGGTGGTGCTGGTGGTGGTGGGAGTGGTGGTGCTGGGAGTGGTGGTGCTGGTGGTGGGAGTGGTGGTGCTGGTGGGAGTGGTGGGAGTGGTGGTGGTGGTGGGAGTGGTGGTGGGAGTGGTGGTGCTGGTGGTGGGAGTGGTGGTGCTGGTGCTGGTGGTGGGAGTGGTGGTGCTGGTGGGAGTGGTGGTGGGAGTGGTGGTGCTGGTGCTGGTGGTGGGAGTGGTGGTGCTGGTGGTGGGAGTGGTGGTGCTGGTGGTGGGAGTGGTGGTGCTGGTGGGAGTGGTGGTGCTGGTGGTGGGAGTGGTGCTGGTGGGAGTGGTGGTGCTGGTGGTGGGAGTGGTGATGCTGGTGGTGGGAGTGGTGATGCTGGTGGTGGTGGGAGTGGTGCTGGTGGGAGTGGTGGTGGTGGTGCTGGTGGTGGGAGTGGTGGTGCTGGTGGGAGTGGTGGTGCTGGTGGTGGGAGTGGTGGTGCTGGTGGTGGGAGTGGTGGTGGGAGTGGTGGTGCTGGTGGGAGTGGTGGTGCTGGTGGTGGGAGTGGTGGTGCTGGTGCTGGTGGGAGTGGTGGTTGGAAGAAGTTGGCTGCCGGCAGTTGTTGCGATTTTGGGGAAGCAAAGTTGGCATTGAAGGAAACAACGCAAGGAATGGGTGGGGACGGGGGGCGGGGAGTCCACGTATCGGGAATGAACGCGAGCAAAATTAAACAGGGATCTGCTCTATACTCTTTGGTTCTATTCGGTAAAGTCACGTAGGTAAAAAAGAAAACAACAAAAAATCACGACGTTTCGGCCACAACACAAGCGGCCTTCATCAGGTGAAGGGATCAGGCTGTCTCGAGGGCAGCGCTGAAGGCCGCTTGTGGCCGAAACGTCGTGATTTTTTGTTTTATTTTTTTACCTACGTGACTTTACAGAATAGAACCAAAGAGTATGGATCCTTGCATTCACGAAAGATTTAAATCTAGAAGGGATCTGCTCTCTTAACTGCTTTCCTGTGCTTTGGTACCACACGCCAGACTACCAGCCATGGCTATTGTGAATTGTAATTCGTGTTGCTTTTTTGGAACTGATGTCTGCCTTAGCGGTGCTTTGCAGACGATGTACAAGTGAGAGAGAAAAAAAAACATGATAAAGACGAAACAGGGTTTCACACTGACTCAGGACTGTAGTCAGTTCTGGGTGGCCACGACTCTGACATTTTTAGTATTTGTTTTGGTCAATTTGAAATTTTCGGACAAGTCAATTGTTTTCGTTTTTGTTCTGTACAGTTGCTGTTTATCGTTCCTCGACATGTGTAAAGCTTTCTGTAGTATATTATTTCTGAGTTCACTGTAATACAGGATGTCGGTTACAGTGGTAGTAAAAGTTTTGCACCAATGAGCCATTTTGTTATTTCGCTCAAAAGTAAAAAAACTAAACGTTACCAATACGGGCAGTGGAATAATAAAGGAACAGACTCATCGCTTGCACCTCTGCAAGGTTGCCCGTGCATTTAAAGACGAATAAACAAGACCCCTGGCTCTCCCACCCAGCCCCTGCCTCTCGTCCATCAGACTCCTCCTCAGCCCACCCCATCTCACTCTGTCCAGGCCTCCTCCATCCATCTCAGGCTCCCTCCCCCCACCTCTACAACAACCCCCCCCCACCACCACCCACCTCCCTCCCTCTCTTGGGTAACGTTTCCCCTGCCCCATATTGTTTCTCTTAGGAGCCCTCAAAGCTCGGCATGACCTCATTCCCGAGGCCTTTTTTGCCTCACGCAAAATGACATCACTTGACCAAAACCGTCCCCTTCTGCCAGTTACCCTCCACTGTCTGCCCTCTGGCCACTTGGTCACGCAAGCAAAGAAGTCTAGGTTTGCTTTAGGGTAGTCACATGAGAGAGAGAGAGAGAGCCCAAGGTTTTCTTTCACTTTTTTCTTTATAAACCCATCTGTCTGCGTTTTTTTTCACCCGTGCTAATGAACTGGCCGTTTGTGAAATGTTTTCGTGTGCTATGTGCTGCGTAGCAAAAAAAAACTAAAACGAGGGGGTTTAAACCATGATTATTACAGCACTTTCAATGTAAAATGGTTGCAGTTGTATGTATAAATGTGCGTGCATAGGTGTAGGATGTGTTTTTTAGAAGTGTTCTTGTTTAATGTGCTTCTTGCATTATTTATTAAACGTGGAGGAGAGCAAGGAAAACAACAGTAATGTAGTCGTGAACATCATCTATAATCTTTACGTTCATACTGAGTAACAATTTTGAAAAAATAACAAGTTTAGAAATAACTTATGCTTGAAACAAATACACGTGCATTCTGACGCCAGCCTTATGCCATTATTTTCATGTTTATTTTTAGACAAAAGACATCTGTAGGGGCACTGCATAATTTATTCAATGAACCAGTATCCTGGATACTCTGACGAGAGACCTCTTCCCAGTGAGTTTTAAAAATTACCACAGCCCTCTGAGGAATACTGAGGTTAAAAAGGTTGCATGTTTGCTTTGCTGCAACATTTGACCTTCAATGGCCACTGCCCAAAATGACCAAAAAAGGTTTGCGTGAATGTCTAATCCATCACGCGTAACAATAAATATTATATTTATATTACCTTTACATTTAAATTGTATATATATTACCTTTAAGCGAAGATACAGCAACTGGGAAGGTTTGCCGCGATGCATATAAGGGTGATGCGAGTGCACTACTTTAGGAACGGCTCTGTGGTTTCGGCACAAGTGTGTGACGGGGTCATAAGCCAGAACCTTCGAGGGTTCAAGTCTCATTGCAGACCAGGGGCAAAGAATAAACAATCATACGCACGGCCGGCGAGCGCCCTGCCGGGCAGCTGAGATAGACGAGGTGCAGTCGCGATAAACATTCCCGCAGGATTTGGGGTGTGCACTTTTATTTGGTCGAGTACAAATTGCTCTCCTTTGAAGATGCCGCCTATTTACTTTAGATATATATGATGAAAAGAAAACATCTTATGGGAAGGCCAGCTGTTAATTCAGAGCAACTAGACGTATTAACTTCAAATTTCACCAGACGGCCCTCGTGCAATTCTGGCTTGTAGTCTTTGAAACCACAGACTCAACACAGAAACGCTGCCTGAAAGTTAGACCTAAAATAGCAGTTGTGTAATTAAGATGGGGAGTTCTAACTTTGGGCAACATTCCAACGAACAAAATAAACTGTTGACTGCCTGTATTGTGCTGTTGGCACAATACATAGACATTTTGTAGCCAACGAAAGATAATTCATATATTGAAAACAATTACTTGTTGTGTGGTATTGACAATATTTATTTTGTCTAAATTAAGTTCATACATTTATATTTGCCCATTAGTCGTGTATACATACCTCCCTTATTTCCACAAAACCCTCACTCATAATTAAGGTTTTTGGGTTAGATTTCGATTTAAAGCTTTCGTGACTGCAATGATTCATCTTCTTTGGTTCTTTCGGTAAAGTCACGTAGAATGAGAATAAAATAATAAATTGATAAAATAAAATAACACAATAATATTCTCACGACGTTTCGGCCACAACACAAGCGGCCTTCATCAGGTGAAGGGACGAGACTGTCTGGTAGGACAGCGCTGGAGTAAGGAAAAATGTGTCGTAACCCTCCACCAACCGACACAACTAATTAGTAATGGATTTGTCACGTAAACAAAACGGGCGATTAATGGATGTAATTACCAGCGAAACGTCGCAATGAAATTGTAAATGTTGTGGATTTACTCTCCAACACACCGGTGGGCTGAAATAGTAACTATTTGGCGTTTTGTTTATGTGACAAATCCCTTACTAATTGGCTGTGTCGGGTGTTGGAGGGTTACGACACATCATTTATACTTACGCGATCTAACACAAAAACCTTTATTAGGAATGATATTGGTCGCGAAAGCCTACGTGTTAAAAAAAAGTCCCCACTCGTTTCACCAACCAACACTGGTGAGGTATGATCAAACAATGACCTACACAGTGCAGGGAGGCTTTCATCCTGCAGTGGATTAATAAAGTGCCATATGTTTTTATTATTCCAGCCAAATAGCATCGAGCCAAGTGGCTCAGCGGTAGAGCCAGCAGCTCACAATTAGACCAAAGAAAAACATCATTCCACCATGGTCGATAACACTAGTACCATTTTGTGGAGAAGTCCTGAGCCAGTGATGTATTATCATCACTGATGTATTATCATCACTGGCTCAGGGCTCGCAGCGGATGAGCTCTGCCTCACTGCTAATTTGAGCAAGAAATCAGTTTGACATTTAAAAATATATATAATGTTACATTCTCAAACGGTTGGCTTTAAACTCTGTACGTTCATTTTAAATGTATCTGGCAACCCACACGTCTTTTGGACGTTACCATCTGTCTCTCCCTCCTGCCAGCCAGCGAGAATAAACTTTTTTTTTTCTAATAATAGTATGAAAGGCTGCGACATGTCAAAACTACAATGCGGAATGCTTCCCTCTCTCTCATAAATACTCTTCTAAAAACATTGCTATTCATTGCTATAAGTGCATCAGTTCCTCATGAGTGAATGTGGATTGTGCTTTACTAAGTGTGATGTATATTTTTTTTACAAAATACTTAACTGTGCACAAAGCCTTATGTTGACCAAGTATTTAATGTTGAAGACCCGTTTTGTGTCATATTACTGCAATTCACTTTAACAAATAGTTAAGCTAAGAGTTGCATATGTTATACAAGCGGTAATAAATTACTTTCCAGATAATTTTTAACCAGAATACAGTAGAACCTCGGAGATCGAACTCACCAGAACACGAACAAATCGGTGTTCGAACGATACTTCCGAACATTTTTTGCCCCGGAAACCGAGGGAAATTCGGAGGTCGAACGGGACAATCGCGACTTGAAAGAACCTGTACACGGCTGAGACGCGTGT